TCAAAATTCATAAATTTTGAAATTGTACAAAACCTTGAACAAATAATGCGGGAATTTAATGTATTTGCTCAGTCTTATCAAATGATGGGTGAAGAATTAGAAAAGCAACGACGTTTAGAAATGGAATCTGATGAATTATTACCGGAGTTACAATTAGTATTTACTTCAAGACCAGATATGGATCGACGTCGATATAATACTCAAAGAATCAATGAAGTTGCTGCTGTATTCTCTACAACAGCTGATGGAGAAATTCCAGAATCATATGTTACAATACGTAATAAAAATACTAAAACTTTACAAAAAGTTAGTATTATGGATCCAAATGTAGAACCATGGATATATCCATTATTTTATCCATATGGTACTCAAGGATGGCATCGTGATTTAAAAAAATTAAATAGTGATAGACGAATAACTAGAGGACAGTATATTAAATATCGTATAGCTATTCGTGATGATGAATTTAATGTTTTTAATTTTTAATTAATTTAATTTTTTTATTAGGACGTCGCTTATTTCAACAGTGGCTTGTAGACAGCTATGTAAAAATGGAAAAAGATAGAATTGATTATTGTAAAAATCATCAAAAAGAATTACGTAGTGAAACATATCAAGGTTTAAGAGATTATTTACAAACTACGGCTAATAATTTAAATGGACGTATTGGGAAAATGGTTGTACTTCCTTCCACATTTACTGGATCGCCACGCAATATGTTACAAAATTATCAAGATGCAATGGCAATAGTTAGTAAATTTGGTAAACCAGATCTTTTCATTACTATGACTTGTAATCCAAAATGGCGTGAAATTGAAGAAAATCTTTTACCTGGTCAACAAGCTTCGGATAGATCTGATATTTGTGCTCGTGTTTTTAATATAAAAAAAGATTATTTAATTGATTTAATTGTTAAACAAAAATTTTTTGGTGAAGTAGCAGCATTTGTATACGTTATTGAATTTCAAAAACGCGGTTTGCCACATGTTCATATGTTAATTACTTTAAAATACAATTATAAAATTACAACTCCGGAAATTGTTGATAAATATATTTCTGCTGAAATTCCTGATCCATGTGATAATCGTATTCTACATGATATAGTTATGAAACATATGATTCATGGACCTTGTGGTGATTGGTGTTTGATAGATGGACGTTGTTCAAAACATTATCCGAAACCTTTTCTCGAAGAAACTAAAATGGATGAAGATGCTTATCCTTATTATCGCCGACGAAATAATGGAACAAATTTTGAACGTCCTGGTGGATATGTAGTTGATAATCGTTATGTTGTTCCATATTGTCCTACTTTATCAATTATATTTAATAGTCATATAAATGTTGAAGTAGTTTCAAGTATTAAATCAGTTAAATATCTATATAAATATATTTATAAAGGACATGATGTTGCTGCTATAACTATTGAACCAGTAACAGAATGTGTTGTTATTGATCATGATGAGATACATAATTACATCGAAGCTCGTTATGTTGGACCTGTTGAAGCTAGCTGGCGTATTCTTAGTAAAAAACTACAAGATAAAAGTCACGCTATAACACGTTTACCAGTCCATCTTCCTAATGAGCAAAATATTATAATTGAAAATGAAAACATTGACGATGCAATGACTTCTGCTTTAGATCAAGTTACTATGTTAATAGATTATTTTTCATTAAACTTACGCGATGAAGAAGCAAAAGTATTTGTATATAGAAATTCCAAGTTATTATACATTTAAAAAAGAGAAAGTTAACGGTAAAAATGTATCACGTTGGGTCAAACGTAAAAGTCATTATAATTGTATAGGACGAATGTATTCCGTTAGTCCAACACAAATAGAATTATTTCATTTACGATTATTGTTACTCACAGTAAAAGGGGCCACAAGTTTTAACGATTTAAGAACTGTAAATGGAGAATTTTGTCAATCATTTTCAGTCGCATGTTTAGCTTTAGGTTTGATCGAAGATGATGATGAATGGAAAAAAGCTATGAATGAAGCTGTTGGATGGATGATGCCACGACAACTTCGTAGACTATTTGTACGTATATTATTACATTGTCAACCATTACATCCTGAAGAATTGTGGGAAAACTTTAAAGTAGCAATGTCTGAGGATTATATTCAACATTTTGGTATATTACAAGGACAAAATAAAGCATATGTACAAATTAATAGTATGCTTCGTGCTGAAGGTAAAAGTTTTGTAGATTTTCCACAAATGAAACAATTAACAGAAAATGATGAAGAAGAGAATTGCATGATATTTGAAGAAGCTATGGAAATAGGCACCAAACAATATAAGCAATTAAATGATAAGCAGAAAGAGATCGTCGATCTTATATTAAATGAATTAAATAATAATATTACTTCAAATAATTGTTTTTATATTGATGGTCCAGGTGGATCAGGTAAAACATATATATACACAACTATCTATTATTTAGCTAGAATTAGAAATAAACGTGTATGTACAATGGCATTTACGGGTATTGCAGCTACATTATTACCTTTTGGAAAAACAGTTCATAAGATATTTGGATTACCAGTTCCATTATTTGCTGATTCATCATCAAGTATTAAAATCCAATCAAAAGAAGCTCAATATTTAAAAGAAATTGATATTTTCATTTGGGATGAAGCACCAATGGCACCACGATATGCTTTAGAAATAATGGATCGAACATTGCGTGATATTATGAATAATGATATTCCTTTCGGTGGAAAAATTGTTTTATTAGGTGGTGATTTTAGACAACTTTTGCCTATTAAAGTACATGCTACTCGAAGTGAAATTGTAAATCTTTCTATTAAGTGTAGTTCTCTTTGGAAGTATTTCGTAAAATTCTCTTTAATACAAAATATGCGAGTTCTTCCAGAAGAAATTGAATTTGTAAAGTTTTTATTGAATGTTGGAGATGGTATATTAAATGATCTTAATGATAATATACAAATTCCTGAATGTTATATAGCGTCTATTATATAGCGTCTAATGCTGATATTGTGGAAGATATATATGGTGATTTAATAAGAAAAAAAGAGTTTGTTAAAATGTCTAAATGTGCCATACTTTCTGGAAGAAATGTTGATGTAGATGAAATTAATAAGAAAGTTGTGGAATTATTAGATATAAATGATGAACGAATTTATACAAGTGTAGACACTGCTGTAAATAATGACAATGGTGACATGAGTGAAACATTGTTACCAGAATATTTAAATAGTTTATCTCCATCATCTCTTCCTTCTCATGAATTACGTTTAAGACCAAATAGTATTATTATGTTAATTAGAAATTTAAGTATCAATGAAGGTCTGTGTAATGGCACTAGATTAATGATTATAGAGCTTACAGATCATTTATTAAAATGTAAGATTTTAACAGGTGACAAAACAGGAGACATTGTTTTTTTGAATCGTATAACGTTATATTGCGAAAATGTATTTCCTTTTACTTTTTCTAGAAGACAATTTCCAATAAAATTAGCTTTTGCCATGACGATTAATAAATCACAAGGACAGACGTTTGATAGAATTGGATTAGATCTTCGCAAAGATGTTTTTAATCATGGACAACTTTATGTTGCTTTTTCGCGAGTTCGTTCTTGGCAAGCGTTAAAAGTTTATCTTGGTAATCAACGAAATAACAAATTTGTTAAAAATTATGTATATAAAGAAATTTATATTTAATTTTTTGTTTTTTAAATGTGAAAAAAACAATTTTGTTAAAATAACAATAATAATAATAATAATTTATTCAGCGAATATATAAAAATTTTTTACAAATATAAATTTTAATAATAGAAAATTTTACATTTTATATAAAAGTTTATTTTAATATTGGAAAATTTTATATTTTATATAAATTTGCTTATAAGAAATAAATATAATACACATATAAATAAATATAATACATAATCAACATTTGCTTAGTCAATTTTTTTATATGTAATAATTTGTATAAAATTATAATATAAGATGTATAAAACAAAATATGATATATTAGAAACTTATAATAATAAGAACTTATTATATAATATATCAAAGGATAATTGAAATTGTGTAGTCGACCAAACTAGCCAGAAATATAGTTTATTAATATGAAATATAATTTGACCATATGATTGTGGTCCTTATATAATATATAATACTTATTATAATATATAAAAGAAAGTTATTTAATAATATATTTATATAATATATACGAAAAAGTTATATAAAACAAGTTAAAATAACAATAATTATTATGAGTTGGACGTGGAAGTTGAATTTCTCTTATTCTGATCCTGTGAAAAAAATATATAAATTAATTATACATATATATATATATATATATATATATATATATATATATACACACAGAGTGTCCCAAAACTCATAATCAATCTTTCAAAGACAGATTCCTGAGATTTGGAGACGATTTTTCCTCAATGAAAATGTCGATATGAAGGCCATTATTTTTTGCATGTTTCCACTTTTTGTCATCATATATCTTTACAATTAAGTTTTAAATTAAAACTCAATTGAAGTAAACTCTATTTAAAATTAATCGAAGAATGTGGTTTAATTAATATTTTATTTCTACAAAGCTTAGTTTACGAAAAAACCCTTATTTCCAATCACTTATAATTCGAAAATTATTAGTGCTTCGACATTTTCGTTGAGGACAAATCGTCTCCAAATGATCCCAGGAATCTGTCTTTGAAAGATTGATTATGAGTTTTGGGACACCCTGTATATGTATGTGTACTATATAATAATAATTATATGATTATATAATAATTATATATAAGTATCAAAATGATGAATATTATTAATTGTAAAAGTAAAAAATTAGAGTGAAACTTTAAGAGTTTTACTACTCTCTTCAACAAGTTTTATTAAAAACTAATAGTTTTAATATTAATTATAATAATTATACCTGATTAGTATTAATTATACCTGAAAGTACATCATCTATTTTTCTTTTCAAATTTTTAGTTCCATTTATTAAAGTTAAGAGTGGCATGTGCCCTGCGATTTTTTTATATTTTCTGTATTGTTGACAACTAAATATGATGGAATAACTAAAAATTATAAAAATATTAATAAATAAATATAAACAATATAAATAAATATATAAATATAAATATATACATAAATATAAATATATATATATATACAGGGTTGGGCAAAAGTCCGGAAACGGTCAAATATCTCGAAAAGGATCAACTATAGCGAAAAATTGTAAATAGCAAAGTTGTAGGGCTTAAAAAAATGTACCTAATGATGACTAAAAATTTTACTTTGAGTGGAGGACGAAGATCATATAAAAGTCAAATTGAATTTTTTAAATGGAACTGCCTACTTTTTATTGCATATTCTTATAGCTTATCTCGAGACCTTTCCAAAACACTATAATAAAATATTTTTTTGTTAAGTATTTTCCGAGTTACAAGACTTGAAAGTTACAGTACCGCATAATCCAAGGTGCACCACTCCGGTTACTCGGGTCACTTCCGCGGTGACATACCTTTGAAAATATCGTTTCCCACTTTCTCAATTAATCAAATGTTCAAAATGTTTTCCTTCTACCGTTTGACAATGAGCTAAACGCTGATAAAAATTATTGATCACATTTCTTATTTGTTCTAAAGTAATCAGAGATGCTTCCTGTGTTATTCGGTTGCTAAGGTCTTCCAAATTACGTGGTTTTGTCACATAAACCTTACTTTTGAGATATCCCCAAAGAAAATAATCAAGAGGAGACAAATCAGGTGATCTATCAGGTGATCTTCAAGTCTTGTAACTCGGAAAATACTTAACAAAAAAATATTTTATTATAGTGTTTTGGAAAGGTCTCGAGATAAGCTATAAGAATATGCAATAAAAAGTAGGCAGTTCCATTTAAAAAATTCAATTTGACTTTTATATGATCTTCGTCCTCCACTCAAAGTAAAATTTTTAGTCACCATTAGGTACATTTTTTTAAGCCCTACAACTTTGCTATTTACAATTTTTCGCTATAGTTGATCCTTTTCGAGATATTTGACCGTTTCCGGACTTTTGCCCAACCCTGTATATATATATATATGAAAATATTTTTAATAAATTATTTAAATGAAAATATTTTTAATAAGTAATTACAATTTTGTAATATTATATATATATATTGTATATATATATATATATATATATATATATATATATATATATATATATGGGGCATTCCACGCCAAATCGGACGGTTTAAAAAATTTTTGTTTTTGATTTTCTTAATTTTTAGGTATTTTTTAGTACCCCTCAAAAGAGGCTTCCTGGTAACTTTAGAGATTTTTTTGATCACTGGTTCAAAAAATATCGAATTTTAAAAAAAACCGCTCTTTTTCTGGCTTTTTGCTCATAACTTTCTTAATAATGGTCGAAATTCAATTTTTTTTTTCAAAATTTTCGTTTTTAGATGGCCTGTACAGAAAAAAATACAAAAAAAATATTTAAAGTGTTTTTAATCGAGATTTTTGAATTTTAAGTTTTCAATCGTGTTTTTAAAATTGTGTGTATCCTTCGATTTTCTTGAAAATTTTCTATTTTAAACTTCTCTCCATCCTGCAACTTTTAAGCCCGGTCTGGTAGTGGGCCTTCCATAATTACTATTTTTTTTCGATTTTTAAAAATTAAAAATTTTGAATAGTTAATTACGTATTATATTTATTTTTTATAAGTGAAAATTTATAACTTTTATAAGTAAAAATTTTATATTTTAAAGGTTTGAAAATTAAAAATTTCATTTTTTTAAATTAAAGATCTTAAAATGGCGTTTATTCTTTATATAAATTAATTTTAATAGTATATAAACAATTATAAGAATAAAATAAGTAAAAATTAAATAGTTTAGTTTTGTAACACGCGGTTTTCTTTCCCGTACCGCGAATTTCTGATTGCGGATAGCCGTCGGTTCCAGGTACAGAGAATAAGATGTACGTGTGCTTAATTGATGCGTGTATTTGTATATGTATGCGTTACAAGTGTGTGTGTGTGTGTGTGTATGTGTGTGTGATTTCGGTCGCCGCGAGTGTTAAAGCGCGATAGATCGATAAATCGCTCGTTCGCTTGGAGCGGGCGGCGGTGAGGCGCGATATAAATATAAACTATCTAATTGCGGTAACAATAGTAACGGTGCCTCGGGTCTCGAGTACAGGCGAGGATACGGTCGCAATACCGGAGTATGCAAATATAAACTATAATTTCGGCGGACTGCAATCGCGCCGTTCGCGGTATTAGATGCGTCCTTTACTTTCTTATCGCGCGCGTTTTTGCGCACGGTTTATTGCGCTCGCTTTAAGCCCGGTGGGATGGCCCTTTAAGAATTATTTGTTTCCGAAGGATATTAGGAGTAGGATGGCGTCGCGACGCTAGCAAGCGTCGGAGGCGGCTCGTGTTCCACCTCGGGATAGATGCGACACCTGAAGTATATTTGGAGGCGATTTGTGAAGGCACCGATATCAATCGGCGGAGGCAGCGTTCGCACTACCTTCTGGCCTTCTGATCTCGCAGGATTTCCTCTTTCTCGTAGCTTGCCTTCAGACTAGCTCGGCTAGGAGGATCGGAAGGATCTGATCTCAAGTGTCACCGGGAGCCTATTTTATACCGCTAATTGCGGCACGCGCCGGCGTATTTGTTATTAACTCCCACCGGGCGACGGAAAAATAACGGTATATTCGTCGCAGGGTTCTCATTCGGCGGCTCCCGGTGACGGTGTTCGGGATGCCGCGTGCGGTTCTCAATCGGCGGCTCCCGGCCGACGATGTTCTGTCGGACTTCCTACCCGGCTTTTTTTGACAGTTTCAAAAAGTGGGCACACAGCCCTCTGCCTCTGCCCGACCGGTGGTCGTCGGGCGGCAGCTTCCGGCTGATGTTTGCCGGGAAACGATGCATTTCGGGGTGCATCGTTACAGTTTATTACCTGTAGTTTGCATGATACCAATAATTTCTACATGATCACCTTTTCTAATATCAAGTAAAGTATAATCATCGTTACTAAAATTTATTACATGAATTTCCAGTTTGAATGTGCCATCAGTTATTGCACCACATCCAATAATTTTGTTCATGTTGTTGTTATATACTTCAGCAAAATTCGTCTTTACGTATCCTCTCAATACTAGAAATATTTGACGAATATATATTAACAAAAATAATAATAATTCCCAGACAGCACAGGACATTCTACGGACATTCATTTTATGTCCATTTTACGTCTGCACGTCCATGGACATAAAATAAACGTCCATTGTACATCCGATTTAAGACATCTGTTAGTAGTCAATATTTGGACGTCCACAAGATGTCCGGTCTTGGAGGTCAAAGTTTCTCGCGAGCACGCAAGCATGTATTAGTTCGTTCGTTTACCGCTACGTGACGTGCGATGCACTATCTTTCTCGTATTTAAGTTTTAGTTATGAGAATTATATAAAGTTTGCAAAAGGTAACAAATAAAATTAAAAATGTATTGTTCAATTTAATTTCTGACCTAAAAGCACGGGTTTCGGATATTAAATTGATTTTATAAGTCGGACAAGTAAATGTCCGGCAAATAAACGAAAATAATTGTTCATTATTTATTTAAGATGTAAAGTGCAATATGCAAGTATAAATTACAAATAAATTTTTTATATAAAATTTTTATGTAAAATTTTATATAAAATAAATTATATTATTATTTAGGGATTGAAATATATATGTTTCGTTTAAAAATTATATGTTTAGATCATAAAGATTGTTCTTCTTTCACACATATAATATACATTTTTTTTTAATTATCTGTTTTATAATAGTTTTGTGCAAAAAAAGTAACATTTAAATAATATGTGATATTGCATTAATGTATATGTGATATAAATTTTCTTTAATAAATGTATTGCTTAAAAAAATATATATTTTATCTTTTTAATGTGTAAATTCAAATTTTGTATGTAATCCCTTTTTCATCTCCTTATTATGTCCATATAAAATCCGTTTTGTATATTTGTTATTGCTAATTTATGTCCAATAATCGTCCATCGGATGTCTTTTGGACACATCAGGGTTTAAATTATGTACTCCAATTTCATATTCGGATATGCTAAGGATATCCACTGTATATTTGAGGAACATAAAACGGACATTTTATGGATATTTTCAATATCCTTCAAGGATATTTGTAGAATATTTTATGAATATCTGTGTGCTGTCTGGGTTATATATAAAATATATTGTTCTATTTTAAATAAATATAAGAAAATTCTAAAAGATATAAATAATATTTTATATTATATTATCAATAATCCTGTTATTATTTTTTAATAAAATTTTTGATTTTATATATATATACGCCTATATTATATATAGAGTGTTCGAAAAACTGCCCGCAATACTTCGAGAAGTGATTCGGGACCGGAAAAAAAGATAAAAAGCTATATAAATATAAGTCCTGAAAAATAACTCATTTCTTAATTATAATAGTCATTTTTATATTAAAAACATTGTAATTTAATTTTTATAATTATAATAATCATAATTATAGTTTATTTCATAGTATTTTAATATAAATAACTTTATTGTGTGTGTAAGTATGAATATGTATGTGTATGTGCAGTGTATCCAATAATAACAACTACATTATCTCTCTTGTATATAGAAGAAGTTAAACAGAAAAAAGAAGAATTTTTTATCATTTTATGATTCTTACAACAATTAATGAGAAATTAATTAAGAAAAATTCACCAATTTACGTAAGTATTAGTTCGTGATGAGAAAAGACAGTCCATTATTACTATATAACCGTTGTCATTTATAGAGCGTTTCTTTTAAAATTTTAACAAATGTTTCGCATAATTGTCTTAAATAATAATAGAACATATTATCTATGTTTTAAATCTTTTAATAATTTAAAATCAAATTTGCATGGATCACTTAATATCTGAATCATTTATAACGAATAAATTTTTTTCTGATATCATCTAAATATCAATCATTTTCATTTATTTAATTTTTTAAAACTATATTTTTTAAATAGATTTCAATTATTCAAAATTTAAAAACAACCAAATAATTGAAGTTTATGGAAGAATAAGTAGAATAATTAGTTTAAAAAATAATTTTAAACAATTTAAAATTTGAATGTTTGATATGTAAACGATTGATATAAAAAAAATATTTATTTATTATACTATATTTATTTCAAATTCTAATAACGTATTAATTAAAAAAAGGTATATGGATTAAAAAATTATATGAAAAATATTTATATATTTTTATATTTATATTATAATATTATATTAATAAAAAAAAGAAATTATATAAAGAATACTCACTAATGCGATTTTTTGTAGCATTTAATACATCAGATAATTCAATTGTCTCAGGTGTGGTATCTACTATTTCCATTGGTTCAAATTTTCCAAGATTTGAAATTATTGTATTTGATTTTATTAATAGCTCATACGGCATATTACCATTGTTGAATTGAGGTATTTTTGGTGGACGTGCCTGAGTACCATCCAAATGAATAATCTATTTTATGAAATGTATTTTAATATTAAAAATATAATTATACATATATTTTACATAAATTTTTAAAGAATTACAAGTTATAAATTAAATATTTTATATTTTAATAAAATAATAATATTTAATAAAATAATATAATAATGTGTATAATTATATTAATATAAATATCGAAATTAAAAGATTATGAAAAGAATGATAGATAAAATACACACATTATATTTGTTTAAAAGTATAACACTACATATGTAATTTTATTGTAATTATTATGCATATTATTATTAATATAATAATTTTTATAATATATTGTTATGTTATAGATTATGTTATATAATATATTCTTTGTATTATAATATTATTAATATTATAGATTATGTTATATAATATATTCTTTGTATTATATATGTTATAAAATAGGATTTTTGGGTCAAAAATTATCAATGAAAAATTACATATTATATACATATTATGTGAAATATGTAATGAATTATATATTATACACACACACACACACACACACACACACACACACACACACACACACACACACACACACGTGTGTTGTGTGAAATATACATGTACAAATGCTATTTACGATAAAGAATAGATATGTTTATTTATATATATCTGTAACGTATTTGTATATATCTCTAACATAATATATATAATATATATAATATATATATATATATATATATATATATAATATATATAATATATATATTTCATTTGTATATAAATTCACAACTTAAAAAGAATTTTTATTTGTAAGTAATTTGTTTAACACAGAATGATTTATAAGCAAATATTAACTATTATTAAAACCTAATGTGATGTATAATAATATGTAATATACGTAATGTATAATAAAAACGTGAAATAATAATATGTAATGTATAATAAAAATGTAATAAAAAATGTATAATAATATGTAATGTATAATAAAAACAATGTATTGAGAATAAAAGTTAAATATTAAATATCAAGAAAAGAAAAAATATAGATCTTTCTATTTTTCTCTCGTTTCCTAATGTTTAATATTTGATTCTTATTTCTAATATTTATTTTATATTACACCAATTGTGTCTATAAAATAACAAAAATACTGTTAGCGATAAAAGCAATATCACTGTGTGTATATATTAAATTAATTGTAAGATAGAACGACTTGATTCAAAATCAAATAATGATGATTTAAATATTTCTTTAGACAGTAGATTAAATATAACGACGTATATACATGATTTTCTAGACTATCTTTTTTACATTTTTTTTGACACAAAGAATACGCACATATGAAGATTCATTAATACTTATAAAAATTTATAAAGTTTACATTTTATCGTAAATTGCATATTATATGTGTATACAGTGTATATGTATATATATTTTTTTCCTCTTCTAATAATTTATAAGAATTTTTTAGTAAACATTTTCATTTTAGATACTTATTATAAATAAATAAATAAATATATATATATGTATATATATATATATATACATATATATATATATATATTTATTTATTTATAATAAGTATCTAAAATGAAAATGTTATATATATATATATATATATATATATATATATATATATATTAATTATTTATTCATTTATATTTATAAAGAATATATTTATAGAACATGAAAAACAAAAAATATTTCACGGAAACATTAATAAATAAATAAAAATTAAAAATTAAAAATAATAATAATACTTACAGTGTTTACTTTTATATGATGTTCCACAAAATCAATGTCATCATTCCAGGCAACAATTTGAACCCTTTTTCCTTTTCCGTTATTTAAATAAAATTTGAAGAACTTATATTATTGTTGCGAGCCCACGCAACGTGGAGATTCGATGTTATCAACATAGCCAACAATTTCACTAATATAATTTAATTAATATAATTAATAATATAATTTAATTAATATAATTAATATAATTAATAATAAATTAGAAGGCGCGCACACTTTACACATATTCATATATATATATATATATATATATATATATATATATATATATACAAGATGTTCGACAACAGGCGGGATAAAGTTTAAGAAATGATTCTACTTGATAAAATAAGACGAAAATCAAGAATAACAAAAATTCAATGAAAGCTTCGTTTTTTTTAATTATAAGTATTTGAAAATTTGTGTGAAAGGTGTCTGAAACATGGTAATCTACAAAATTTTTAGCGAGCATAAGCTATATCGCTCTTAAAATATTATGTAACGCAAAAGTGTACAGTGAATTGCTAAATTCTGGATACTTTTTAAACAAACTTTTAAATATTTATAATTAAAAAATGAAGTCTCTACAAAAATTTTGTTACTTTTGATTTTTGTTTTATTTTATCATGTAGAATCATTCCTTAAATTTTGTCTTACTTATTGTCAAACATCTTTTATATATTCTACAGATCAAAATAATGTAAAATTGTTTTATAAATTTATAAAAAATATTTCAGATAAAAATTAGAGTTTAAAAAAGAGATCTATTTATTGATTTTATTAGTTTAATTTTAAGTCTTCAAAATCAAGGGAAACTTACTTTGAATTTTTTAAATTAAATTCCTTACTTTTATTGCATATTCTTTATACTAATAAAAGTTTTTATAAAATCAAATTTTAATAAAATCAACAGGTTTCTTCGTAATTTATAATTTACTTTGTGAGTACATGTGTTATGTGTATGTGTGTGTGTGTATATATATGTATAAACCGAACAGAATAAACAATTATTTTAATTAATTTTCATTATTCTTTTGTATTTTTTGCATTATTTATGTTACATTGGATATGTGTGTGTGTGTGTATGTATATATATATATATATATATATATATTTTTTTTTTTTTAATTAATATTAAGATTAATTATTAAAATTTTAAAAACAATAAATAATACAAAAAATAATGCAAAAAATGCAAATAATACAAAAAATATAAAAGAATAATGAAAATTAATTAAAATAATTGTTTATTCTATTTTATTTATAATTGTTATTCCTTTTTTTTTTCTTCAATTTTCATAAACTTTTTACTTACACTGTTGAATCATACATTTGTATACTTTCAAGTACATCACTTGGTGTTAATAGTTCCATTGCATTTAAATTGTCAATTTCAATAAGTTTATCAATATGATTTTCAGAGTTTTGAAATATATGATTTGAGTTATGATCTTCCGAATCATCCAAATTATATTGTGACATTTTTAGATTTAATATTGTAAAGATGCAAAATTAACAATTATCCTACAAAATATACAAAGATGAGATATATATATATATATTTCATTAATTATTTTACATGAATCTGTTGTTTGAAATAATAATTTAAAGAAAATATTAAAATAATTATTTTTTTTTAATGAATTAAAAAAGATTTATAATTTTAATGCTTTAAAATAGTGTTTCAAAAATATTTTATAAAAATTTTTAAAAATGTTTTAAAAAATATTATTTCCTGATTACGGGATGAAAATATAAAAAATACAATTTACATATTCTATTCATTCTTCTATATCAATAATTTGTCATGTTTTAAATGTCAATGTTTTTTTTTGTAAATCATAATGTAAATTATATGCAAAATTATTATAGATTCTCTTCTTAAAATAAAATTGCAAATTATTTGAATGACACAAAAGTATTTAAAACGTACAATTAGAAAAATTAATACAAAGAACCATTGTAGCCTTTCATAATATTCAATATACAAACATAATTTTAATTGTTTATATAGAAATAGAAATGTAGACAATTTTTGATTTATTTTTTTTAACTTAAGATTAAAAATGCAAACATTTTGATTTATTTTTCTTCTCAATTCAAGATTAGAAATCTAAATATTTCGATCTATTTCTTCTTAATAAATTGAATTGTAAAAAAAGTGTTATGATAATACTTTTACATTTACACAATAATACAATTAATATAAATTAAGTGTTACGTCCGGACCCTGAAAGGATGGGCTGTATGGAAGAACGTAACTTACTTACCCCGTGACACACTTTATTCGGGCGTGTGTATGGATCGGGTCGAACGAATGTGAAGGGCCTGATACAGGTCAGCGACCGAAGGTCTCTTTAACTCTGCGTTTTTACGCCTATTCGTTCGGTGGTCCCTTTTCGGTAAAGGAATCTAATCCTTGTTACGCGGGATAGGACCTAGTGCGATCTCGGGATTTAGGGAAGAGAACGGGTTAAATAATTAAATTCTACATTAAATAAAAAAAATACATATATTATATAAAAAAAAATATAAGGAAAGAAAAATACATCTTAACAGTTATAGTTATGCATGAGCGAGTATGTGTGCGTGTATGTATATATTCTCGAGTATGTTATAATTACAATTAAAATTTTCTAAATTCGGCGAAACACAGGTCCAAATTAAAATACAATAATAAAATTAAGATAAACGATTCGCCATGTCTAAGTTCAAAAATTATTCATCTATTTCAATGATTTCTCCCAAAGTAGTGATAATACATAGGAAATAATATAAAGGGGAAGAAAGAAAAAAAAGGGATAAATAATAATAATAATGCAAGGAATGGGAAATTAAAAGAAAATGAAAGGGAGTAAAGAAAAATAGAAATGAAGAGTTAAATATATATAAAGAAGGGCTTAAACGAAATATAAAGATAGAAAACAATACGAATTGTTGATAAATAAATCAGAAAAGGCAATTAAAAGGAAATGAAAATTAAGGAATCGTTCGCGAACCGCCTTGCGGAGATTCTCAATGAACGGGGAATTGTTCGCGAACCGCCTTGCGGAGATTCTCAATGAACGGGGAATTGTTCGCGAACCGCCTTGCGGAGATTCTCAACGAACAGGGAAATTATTCGCGAATCGCCTTCTGGAGATTCTCAACGAACGAGGAAATGTTCGTGAATCGCCTTACGGAGATTCTCAACGAACGAGGAAATGTTCGCGAATCGCCTTACGGAGATTCTCAACGAACGAGGAAATGTTCGTGAATCGCCTTCCGGAGATTCTAGGCGAATTAGGAAGAACAAGGAATGAGGCTGGAGGAGAGGTGAAACAAGGATTGATTGATTGATCGATAGTAATTAGTAAAGATTTAATGATTATTAAACTGTTTAAAATTATTTGTTAGACATAGATGTTTAAATTATGAGATAATAAGATATGAAAAAGGGAGAAAAGTTGCTCAAATTTACTCACAATTCGTTGGAATCACAAAAATAAATGCGTTGATAAAATTACAATGGCTGAAGTCGGAGGTTGATAACATGAAGAGCCGAGTAATAAAGATGTTCATCAGAAATTTCACATGATGCACGATTAAATGTTAACAAAATCATTTTCGCTGTGATATAAAACAAATTAATAACTTAACTGCATAATGCAAGAAAAGGATCCCCGAGGCTATATAATTTTAAAATTGAATAACTGAATCTTGATTGGAGCTATCGACTGTATTGCTTATAGTGCTAGTTAGTACTTATTAGTGAACGCAAGTGAACTAATGAACTAGAGAACTTAATGAACTAATAAACTAAAGACCAAAAAGAGCGCTCGCGCCTTGCGCTTGCATTTTTTAAAGTAGTTGCTCCTCCTCCTTACTGGATGGTGGGAATCTTTGAAAATCGAATCAAATGATTTCTATTACTCCCTTCTTAGGGCCAAGGAGTTAGATTTTTAGGAAGAGAGGGTGTCTTAGACCTCTAATTGGTTAAGCCCTTTTTCTTAAGGTTTGGCTTCACCATCCAGTAGAGAGTGGGAGCGACCTGATTTCTTTATCTCCTACGATTTGATTGAGAATGGCCTATTGATCCAGCGCACGTGCGATATTAATTTTATGGCTCTGCTCGTATTTACTTTTTTGGTCAATTTCCCGATGACCAAGGCTCTTATTTCAAAGTCTCTGAGACGATCCATTGATACGCATGGATTGAATTTCTTATATTTCCGAGACTCGTAAATTAAAATTTTATTTAAATTTTCGTAGCGCTATCTCGACTGGCCACTTTGCTTGTTTATCCGAGTTGGGTTTCCTTTTAAATTCAACCCAATCGTTGATTACTTCTAAGAAACGTTTCGATGAAAGAACAGAATCGTGAAGTCCACCGGACGTAACATAAGTAATATATAAGTTATATATAAGTTTTATGATATTATTAAGCTTTCAAATAAGAATTATTTTAATTTTCTTTAAATATTATTACATTTTTTACAAATTTTAATAAATTATTCATAAAAATGTTATACATATTATAATGTAAACAATGTTTTATTCATCGAAACTTATAGAAAAAAATAATATCTGATAAAATTAAAAACTTCTGATAAAATTAAAATCAATTAGCAAATATATTGTAAAAGTATTAAATATATTGTAAAGTATTTATTCACTTGAAAATGAATCGTTTTCAAATTAAGATTAATAAATATACAAATATATAAATATAAATTTGTATATTACATATTTATATCTTTTAAAATTACAAAACTGAAATATATATATATATATATATATATATATATATATATACTATATTTTATGGTTTTATTTATACTACGATTTTATAATTTTTAACGATAATATCATTATCATTATCATGTATTATATACATATTTTAACATCAAAATATGTATACAATAATATTAATAATAATGTTATCGTCGTTAATAAAAGTTATAAAATCGGAGCATTGTATATATTGTTAGAAAGCATTCATAATAATCTGCATAATAATAGTAATGTGAATAAGTATATGTATATGTGGTGTGTGTCTATTAATTTAATATAACAATTTATTACATTATAAACTTATAATTTATT